GGATGAGTCTACTATAAGGGGTCTTGTTGAAAGCCTTACTAAAAACCATGTAGACAACATCCACTGCTGTACCCTCACTGATCATCTTCATTACTTCCTCAAAAATTTCAATGACTGCCCTGCTTTTCTAAAATCCTATCCCTAAGAATTCTCTTGAATAGCTTCACAACCACCAAGATGAGATTCACCAGTCTATAGTTTCCTGCATTGTCCCCACTTCCCTTCTTGAACAGAGGAACAACATTAGCACACACGTAACCAACTGTATCAATGCGTAGTTATTTCAAATAGAAAGTTCTGCTAACCTCCGTTGCTTGCTCCTCTTTCTCCAGGAATGGAGTAGTGTACATGATGTAGACAGCTACAGTAAAAGTCAGCTAGCAAACACATTAGGAAGGGTTTAGAGGAATATGGGGCAAATGCTGGCAAACAAGACTAGATCAGTTTAGGATATCTGGTCGGCATAGACGAGTTGGACCAAAGGGTCTGTTTCTGTGCTTCATAACTCGATGACTCTAAATGATGCAGGACTAATTTAACCAGCAACAACAGAATGAATAGATTAAGTGAATTTGAAGAGAGTGAAGTCAGAAACAGATACATTATGGCAGGGGGGCAGGGGTAATATTCAGTACAAGAACTTTTGGTCAGTGTGCAATTACTGTACACTATCAGCTCAAAGCACACAGCACATGTTTGTTCTTACATCTAAAAGAAACACCGAAAGGAAAAATCCAGTTAAGCATCTGTAACAACTGAATACTGAGTATTGGAGCCAATTTGATTGTGATTCAACATGTAATAAATTGAAAATATCACAATCCAAAATCCACTCAAACTGTAACTTTAAAATTTAAAAACTGAGTCAAGTTACTATTTTCCAATGAAATAAATTTTGAAAACAGCACTTTGCTTCCACATTAGAAGAATGATATACACATTATGAGAACCAGAATAATTAGAGACAACCTCACCTTCCAGCTGCTGCAAAAAGTATGGACTGAAGATTTTGGCTACAAAATTCACAGGAAAGCGTTCTAATAATATACAGGAATGAAGAAGGTTCAACAAAATACGTGGCTGAAATTGTGAAAATCGTCCTCTTAATAAGTTTTCAATCTTTTTGAAGAGCTGACTAGCATTTGGTGGCAGATAATTCAGCTTGCCAAATGGCATAATTTGTAAGGCAATTTCTTTAGTTGTAAAATTATCTGAATTGTAAACAAAACTCTCAGCGACTGCATCAAATATGGGAAGTGACAGAATTCGCCGTTGGCTGCAGTATTGCATCACTTTGCTGATTGCCTCTGGTTTTAACGAAAAGGTTTTTTTGGGAACATTTTGCTCCAGAGCATCAGTGAAAAATCTGTCACTATGTCCAAAGTACATGAGAGCATTCAGTACAACTATGAGCTCCTGGTCTGAGAATTGAGGAACATGTCTCACTGAATGTTTACATAGATTAATCACTAAAGGAAGTGCTTGAGTTTGTTTAAGGACAACCATTGCATTGAGTATCTCATTTTTGGCTTTACGATTCAACTTGGAAGCTAAATGAAGGGTGTAAGTATTCATTTTGTTCAACAACTGCTGATAATTTCCTCCTTCTCCCGCAGTAGCCCCCAGCAAATTATAAACCATTATTATCTCTTCAGATGTCCAGTCAACAATTTTGATTCTTTGAATTTCAACCATTACTTGCTTAAACATTCTACACCCTGGGCCTTCCAAGTCCAGCAAGGCCTTGCCCAACAAACACAAGTCTGTAATGGTCATCTGTCCATTGTTAAGCCGCATCTGACATTCCGACATTAGCCGCAACATGAGTGTGCTCTTTGGGTCCACATACAGTTGAACGTAAGCATATAGAGCAGTCACCAGTCCTGTACTGCTGAGCCTCAAAGACTCATGCTCAAAGTGGAAGCACAATGCCTTGAATGCCTCATTCTCCAGCAGTGCCCCAGGGTCCTTCAGACTACTCCCATCTCTTTCAATCTGCGATATTCTAAGCAAGGCAGCAGCAGCCATTGTATCTGTAATGGAACCTGAAGAGTTCAGAAATTTAAAGATGTGCTTTGCAGTTTTACAGTTGTTCAAATGTTCTAAAAACTCCTGTTCATTGGAGGATGTGCGCTGCTTGTCATCCAAATTAAGGTACTCCCCAGCATCGCCATGGAGACACACTGTTCCCAAAGTGGAACCAGGCTGATCTTTGACGATGTTGTGGTATCCTTTATCGGGAATCTGATGATACCATGCCTTTGTAGGTCCTACTGACAAAGTCTTGCTATGTTGTGGATACAGAGTTTTGTTAAGGCTTTTACAGGAAAACAACTGCCGCTTGACAATTTGTAAAATGTTGTATGTCTGTAAGTCCGGCGAAAGAAAATGAACCACTCTTCGAAGATTTAATGCCATAGCAGCTTCAGCAATGTTACTCGTCACCTGTTAGAAAAAGACTGAAGGTCAGGGACAGCCACAAGTTCCCACTGTAGTGAACTGCTAATTTTAAGATTGAAAACTGTGTAAATTACATTCAGCATTTGCAGTAAAGGGTGAAGAATACTACAAACATTTTAAATCTTTCTGTAAGGTTCTGTTTAAATGTTTCCCACAACTAAGACTTCCATGAATAAACACTGACACCAATGTGGTAATTTTCTCACACTGACCTGATGTAAAACTTCCAGTAAACACTATTTACTGTGGGGTTAAATCTGACAGACTGAGGCCCTCGATGGCAGACTATTGAGGAGTCGGTGGTCCTCAGCTGCTGATTTAAGCTCCCTGTGCCTGCCCCTTTTACCCGGGCCAGCCCGAAAGAGGTGGCCGCGGGGAGACTCCAAAGAGGATCGGGGCCTGTCCCACACCGAGACTGACCTCCCCGCGGCCTAACACCGGGCCTCGGCTTCTTACTACCCTCCTGCCCCAGAGAGACTGGACCCTGGGCTTCGGGCTTCTCCTCCTCATAATCCCCTTTCACACTCACTCCATCTTTCTTTCTCTCCACTCCAACGTGCAGGAAGTCCTCTGGGAGTAAATCACAGCGTGGCCGACTGAGCACTTTCCCAGAGTTACTGCAAACTCCCAGTTAGTTGATTCTGTGAAGGGTGTCCGTTCCCGGCAGTGACCACACCCTCAGAATAATTAGATAGGCTTTCCTTAACGTTCACGCCTTTATCATGCTTTTACAGTTCCCATAAATTTGTATTTGCATTGCAAAATTCATGTCACTTAAATCAAAGTATTGTAACAGTAAGCTGAATATGGGGTGCACCAAAGGCGCTTCAATATTCCTGTATGGAGCTGCAGACCAAGACCAATTTCCTTGCAATGGGTTCTCCTACTTCTGGCGAGGGGATTAAATTAAGTTGGCAGGGGTAGCAGGAGAACACGAAGAGAACCCCTCAGGAGCTAGCCCTCCTTTCTGCCCTATCTTAATGACTTAGATAATGTGCGATAGGAAGGATGTTGTGAAACTTGAAGGGGTTCAGAAAAGATTTACGAAGATGTTGTCAGGGTTGGAAGGTTTGAGCTATAGGGAGAGGCTGAATAGGCTGGGGCTATTTTCCCTGGAGCTTTGGAGCCTGAGGATGACCTTATAGAGGTTTACAAAATCATTAGAGGCATGAATAGGTTAAATAGACAAGGTCTTTTCCCTGGGGTGGGGGAGTCCAAAACTAGGGGGCATAGGTTTAAGGTGAGAGGGGAAATATTTAAAAGGGACCTAAGGGGCAACATTTTCATGCAGAGGGTGGTGCTTGTATGGAATGAGTTGCCAGAGGAATTAGTAGAAGTTGGTACAACTACAACATTCAAAAGGCATCTGGATGGGTATATTGATATGAAGGGTTTGAAGGGATATGGGCCAAATGCTGCCAAATGGGACTAGATTTATTTAGGATATCTGGTCGGCATGGACAAGTTGGACTGAAGGGTCTGTTTCTGTACTGTATATCTCTATGACTATGATGATGTGTCACTTTCTTGAACTGCTGCAGAATGTAGGGTGTAGGCACATTCATAGTGCTGTTAGGAAGGGTATTCCAGGATTTTTACCCATCAGTCTACTCTTGATCATCTGTAAAGTGATGGAAAGAATCATCAACAGTGCTATCAAGCAGTGCCCGCTCAGAAATAACCTGCTCAGTGATGCCCACTTTGGGTTTTGCCACAGCTATGCAGCTCCTGGCGTCATTACAGCCTTGTTTCAAACACGGTCAAAAGAGCTGAATTCCAGAGGTGAGGTGAGAGTGACTTCCCTTGACACCAAGGGCATCATTTGACCAAGAAGTGCTAGCATAACTTGAGTCAATGGGAATCAGGGGAAAGAGCCATACTCGTACAAAGGAAGATAGTTGTTGGAGATCAGTCATCTCAGAGCTAGGACATCTTCACAGGAGTTCCTCAGGGGAGTGTCCTAGGCCCAACCATCTTCAGTTGCTTCATCAATGACTTTCCCTTCAACATTACAAACAGGGATGTTTATATCAAATTTATCAGCCAGGGCCCCCACAATTTCTTCTCTAGCTCTTGCAGGGTTCTTGGATATATCTGATCAGGATCAGGAGATTTATCCACCTTCATACATTCTAGTACTTCCAACACCTCCTCTAAAGTAATATGGACTGTCTCCAAGATATCGCCACTAGCTTCCCCAAGTTCCCAAGTCTTCATGACTTTCTCCACGGTAAACACAGAGGAGAAATATTCATTGAGGACCTCGCCCATCTCCTGCGGTTCCACTGTCCACTTTGGTCCTTGAGGGGTCCTATTCTCTCTCTAGTTATTCTTTTTCCTTTAATATACTTAAAGAATCTCTTAGAATTCACCCTAATCTTCTCAGCCAAAGCTATCTTGTGCCCCCTTTTTGCCCTCCCAATTTCCTTCTTCAGTAGACTCCTGTATCCCCCATATATCTCCAGGGATTCCCTTGATCCCAGCTGCCTGTTCCTGAGCCATGTCTCCTTCTTTTTTCTGGTCAAAGCCTCAATATCTCTTGTCATCCAGGGTTCCCTACTCCTGCCAACCTTGCCCTTCACCCTCACAGGAACATATAGACCTTAAACTCTAGCTATCGCACTTTTAAAGGCCTCCCACTTACGACCACTAAAATAGGCGGTATCATAGACAGTGAGAAAGGTTATCAGAAATTGCAGCAGGATCTTGATCAGCTGGGGAAGTGGGCCGAGAAATGGCAAATGGTGATAAGTGTGAGGGTGTTGCATTTTGGAAAGTCAAGTCAAGGTAGGAGCTTCATGGTGAATAGTAGGGCCTTAAGGACTGTAGTGGAACAGAGGGACCTTGGAATTCAGGTGCATGGCTCTCTGAAACTGGAGTCAGGTAGACAGGGCAGTGAAGAAGGCTTTTGGTACACTAGCCTTCATTAGTCAGGGCACTAAGTACAGAAGTTGGGAAGTTATGTTGTAATTGTACAGGACACTGGTGAGGCCACACTTGGAGTGTTGTGTTCAGTTTTTTGTCATCTTGCTATAGGCAGGGTGTTATTAAACTGGAAAGAGTGCAGAAGAAATTTACAAGGATGTTGCCAGGGCTCAAGGGACTGAGTTATAGGGAGAGGTTGTACAAGCTAGGACTTTTATTTAGAACGTAGGAGACTGAGGGGGGATCTTTTAGAAGTGTATAAGATCATGAGAGGCACAGATAAGGTGAATGCACTCAGTCTTTTTCCTAAGGTTGAGGAATCTAGGATTAGAGGGCATCAGTTTAAGGTAAGATGGGAAAGAATACATGGGAACCTGAGGGGCAACATTTTTACACTGAGGGTGGTACACATATGGAATGAGCTGCCAGCAGAAGTAGTTGAGGCAGGTACATTAAAAATGTTTAAAAGGCATTTGGATGAATACATGGATAGGAAAGGTTTAAGGATATGGGCCAAGTGCAGGGAAATAGGGTTACTGTGGATGGACATTTTGGTCGGCATGGACCAGTTTGGGCCAAAGGGTCTGTCTCTGTGCTGTCGGACTCTATGACTCTATGTTTGCTGATGATTACAAAATGTTCAGCACATTTGTGACTCTTTAGATACTGAAGTTGTCCATGACCAATGGAAACAAGAGCAGGACAATATCCGAGTTTGTGCTGACAAATGGCAAGTAACATTTGCACAAGTGCCAGGCAACAACCATTTCTAAAAAGAGAGAATTTAATCATCAGTCCTTGACATTCGATGGTATTACTGTCACCAAATCCCCATTGTCAACATCCTGGAGGTTACCGTAAATATTAAGACGATCACTTGGATACGTTACTGGTCAGCAACCGTAGAATAGTGTTAGTTTCTGCCTTCATGAGAGGTGCATAGTAAATTTCAAAGATAAGTAAGTTTTTTTAATTCATTTATTCACGGGATAAGGGCATCGCTGGCTAGGCAGCATTTATTGCCCATCCCTAATTGCCCAGAAGGCTGTTAAGAGTCAACCACATTGCTGTGGATCTGGAGTCACATGTAGGCCAGACCAGGTCAGGATGGCAGTTTCCTTCTCTAAAGGACATCAGTGAACCAGATGGGTTTTTCCAATAATCAACAATGGATTCATAGTCATCATTAGACTCATAATTCCAGATATTTATTGAATTCAAATTCTACCATCTGTCATGGCAGGATTTGAACCCAGGTCCCCAGAACATTACCTGGGTCACTGGATTAACAGTCCAGCGATAATACCACTACGCCATCGCCTCCTTAAAGAGGCACATGTACCTGGAAGGTCATAACAATCAACAACTGTAGTTTAAAGTCACAAACCACAAATGGGCTTTCACCAGTTTTATTAAAAGTAAGTGTATATCTTATTTAAGAAATCAGACATTCGTGTGTCTCTGGTCAGCAGTGATAAGTAAAACCACGTCACACATCTATGTGCTGAGGTGATAAAAACATATCTGAAAGCACAAACATTTTAAAAGAACATCATGTTCAAGTTTTCACTTTACCAGATCATAGTTTGGTGTTTACTGGATTTGAATTTTTTAATGCAAAAATTGTATTAACAGCAATGCTTTATGTTACCAATGTAAGTAGATCATTTTATTTTTAATTTTATTTGCAATTATTAATCAAATTAGTGCAGAAAATGAAATCAATAATATGGATCTGTACGCACAATTACCTCATATAAAGGTCCTTACAATGCCACAGCAGTGAAATTAGTAAATTAAACACCATAGAAAGTTATTCATTAATTAAACACCATAGAAGGCTAGGGCAGATACTTACTGATTAAGGATCATTTCAATCATGAGATTTATATCCTTGCTTTGTCAGTCAACACCTCAGTCCATAAAGGGAAAGTTTTAAAGAACTAAATCTGAATTGCTGAATTGTTCTTAGAGGTGATTTACATATCTGTAATGCTTTGTTTTATGTCCTTCTTTTGTGTCTCCTGTCTCTTAATTCAATCTCTTTACTATCTCTCTATGTTTCTCTGATGTAAATATTTTAATAGTAATTTCCTATTTCCTTCTTAGTTGTTCCTCTGTATCTTTGTCTAACCTTAAATTTAATTAGTTAAGGAGATAGGCTATTGGTCCCATCATTCACCAAGGTTCCAGGTGCCCTATTACTTCCTTGTATTGCTATCACCTTGACTTTGCCATCGTTAATGCCAAAGAATGAAAGGTAAGATCTAACTAACAGAGCATGCTGTCTCACTGCTGATGAAGTTAGGAGCTGAATGACACTGGCAAAATCCAAACTGAAGTTCTGAAGAAAAGTCATAACTCTTTTTCTCCATCCATAGATGCTGCCCAACCAGCTAATTTTCTCCAATACTTTATTTCTATTTAAAATTTCCAGAATTTGCAACACCTTACTTTTATTGTAGTGCACTTGTGTTCATTTTCCCTATGTTTTTGAGAGTCATAGTCTAGACCTATACAGCATGAAAACAGGCCTTTTGGCCAAAAGTGGACCATGCTGCCCACTCAGCTAGTTCCAATTGCCCGCATTGGTCCATATCCCTCTCAGCCCTTCCCAT